TCCGACAAGGCCGACGACGCTAAGCGGATCCATTATGCAGAGTAATGTTGTAGAAGTAGAAGCAGTATCATCGGCCTCCAGAAGAATGAATATGCAAGCTTGTATTGACGTTAGAAGTGGCGATGGAGGATTCCCAAAAATGAATACAAGGCTGAATGTACCCCTCACTGGGCTGGGCTGATCATCAGCTTGCACAGCCTCAGCGCATCGAGTTGCTTGAGCGCGGCCAGACGCCGTGCTGACCAAGCAGCGGAAAAGACTCACGTAATCCTTCATATTCAACTCACGTGACAGCTCTTTTCGACCTTCATCGCCTGGGATATTTATGATCGTCCATAATGAGATAGCAGGGCTTAGAAATGATCGAAATATCGGTCAATGACTCTGTTCGAGCTTCATCGGTCAGAATGACTGATATTTAAGCGTGTGGTCGACTGTTCCACGCCTAGTCGTATCGCCTACCATGGTGGATAAACCCACCCCAGACCCATCTCCAAGGTGGCGAATCTCCAAGGCGTGCCAGGAATGCCGCCGGAGGAAGATCAGATGCGACGGCGGCAAGCCCTGCCAACCCTGCAGGCAAAGGAAGTCCGACTGTGCATACCGCGGCTTCGTGCGCCGGCGGAAACGGAAACACGAACTCATGTCGTCGAAGAGCCCGGGAGAGGAGGACGATGCGCTCTCTCTGGATCAAACAGGCACGGCGCAGTCGAAGTCTTCAGGTCGCAGTAATGGAAATATCTTGCACCGCAGCGTTGCCGCAACACACATGGCATCGCCGTCCTGCATCATCCAGCTTTACTACGGCCCGACTTCCAACTTTTCCCTCATGCAACTCATGTACCGCCAGCTCGTCGAAGGCGTAGGCGATGTGCCAGAGCCAGGAGGCAGCAGCGAAGTCGAAGAGGCAGGCCCCGGGTTGGAACTTTTCAGCCATCGACGGCTCTTTTTCGGCGACCTGGCCGGAATCCAAGACATGTCCGTGTCATCAACAGGCGATTTCCCTCTGGTTTTCATGCATCCATCGCTGGCGTCGCAGTACCTGGAACGGTATCTGTCGACCACGTACTATCTCATGCCGTTTCTCCCCAAGGATGAGTATCGTCGCAGATTGGAGCAGCTGTACGGCGATCCGCGGACGATGGCGCTGGAAAGCTCGGACGTTACGATCATGCTTCTCATCCTGGCCAGCGGAGCGGCCATGATGGAGGAGGAGGAGCGAGCAGAATTCTTGTTCAAGAAAGCAAAGGCGAATGCAGCGAAATTCGAGGAGCTTGTCAATCTCCAGGCGATCCAGATTCCGTTGATGATGATAAGTTTTGTCCTGCTGCCTTTTTCCTCATATAGATTGCTGACTTTTTCTTGTCAACACGCTCATTATCAGTCGGAGAGGGCAAGGCCGAATTCTTCTTTTCTGCATCTGGGCACCGCCGTCCGCAAGGCGTTGGCAGCTGGACTGCACAAGGACACGCATTTCCAAGTGGAACGATCCAAAGACGACGTCGAGCAGAAGCGGACGACGTTTTGGAGTCTTTACTTCTACGAAAGGTGCGTTGCAGTGTCAATAAATGGACGATGATGTACCCAAAGACATGCTGATCCTGTTGACAGTTGGATATGCTTGGGCCTTGGACGACCAAGCTCCATCCCGGAAAGCGAGATCAGTATCCCCGAGCCAACCGAGCAGCCTTTTCTCCTTGCTCTCGTCCAGTTGTCGCGCATCATGTGCAAATCTGCCCAGAATATCTACGGCCAGCGGCATGAGTCGTTGTTGCCCATGTGGAAAGCGGCGAAAGAAATCCGTCGCGCCCTGAAGGTCTTCTCGCAGCGGCTGTGTGATGTGATGAACTTTTGGTTAGAATCATCGCCCCAGGCGGGAGAGTTGGGTGTCTGCCAAACGGTGTTATTGTTGCGTAGGTTGGACTGCGTTGTCTCCTTGACCTTCACAGCTGACGTCTTCAAGTCTATCATAACCTTCTTCTGCTCACGTTCCGCCCGTTTCTGGTATTCCGGGCTAGATGGCGGCGAGAAAGATCGTCTACTGCCAAGAATGGTGAGCAAGAGACGCCGCCGTGGCTGGATGAGGCGTGCGAGTATTGTCTAGAAGCCGCGCGCTGCACGATCCGCTATCTTTCCGAGGCATATGAAGTCAACAAGCTTGTTCGGGTATGTATGACAATATGAACATAACCTCGCCCGTCGATTTTGGCTTCATACAAACAAGTTGTTTCTGTGCTAGGAAATCAAATACCACGCCTTCTTCCTCGAAAGCGCCTGCTTCACTCTGGCCTTTGACATGATGCACAACAAGGAAGAATCCGCCCTGAAACACCTCCCCTGGGTCAAATCCGGTCTGCGATGCCTGGCCGCCATGCTCCCCCGGAACCTGCAGTTCTACACCCAGGTCCCGTCGACCATGTCTGCCATCCAGCAGATGCTCCAATCGGTGTTTCCCGGTTTGAATCCGTCTGTCGTCGTCGGCGGGGGGTTGGACAGCACCAGCGGTCCAGAAGGCCAGGATGATAACCACCAGCACCACCACCCTGTCAACAGCGTCAGTAGTAGTGGGGCGTATCGCGACAACGACGTCGACGGTAATCCATCCGCGTTTTTTAACTCACTGGGGCAGAACCTGATGATGACGATGCCGACTGGTGGCAGCACGAGCACGGAAATGAGCAACCAAGACCGTGACGAGCAACAGCAACAGCAGCAGCAGCAGCAGCAGTTGGTAGATTTCACACAGGCAGATCTAGGCTGGAACATGGATTTCTCGACAATGGATCTCGAAGCGTTCCTGTCGATTGATCCTGCTCGCGAGATGGAGTGAAGTATATATAGAATAAAATATAATATAATAAACCCAAGTATGAAGTATCAAAAGCCATAGCAGGCAGGTAGATAATACTAGTGTAGTACGAGCTGAATGAATGACTAGCTAGATAGCTAGTAGTCTAGTAGTCTTGATAGTTGATAGTATTCATTGCAATCAAGCATGTATGTTATGTCGATCGAATTATTATTAGCGGTTGTTAATTAGCTAGCTTGCTAGCTAAGTGTATGAATACATGTATAGTATAGTACACACATATCTAGGAATAGAAATTACATACATACAGCATGAGAAATCTGCAATTGAGTAGCCTAGAGGACGATGGGTAGGCAGGCAGGCAGGAAGCCAGTTGATGAAACAAATGTCCGACTCAGTCGTCCCAGACTCTAAGGCTGACTTGACGCCTTCTCAGTCAGTGCGTTTTGTATGTACCGCTGAAAGCAGACTAGGGTTTGGACAATAAATAATTAATTAATAATTACATGTATGTATGTATATATGAATAATGTCACTGCATTGCATTCCATTGATTTGTGAAAGAAAAAGAAAGAAAACAAAATCAATTGATGAACTAAAGAACTTGAAAGTATAAGAGCACGAATATGCGTGCTGACATGACACGCACGTCCATGTCTTTCTTCGGCAAAAGGTGCAGTTGTTGAACGAACCTTGGTTGCAGTTGTATTTGTCTAACCCTAAGTAAGGCTTCGCGGAGACTTTCCCCCCTCTTTTTCTCCCTGCTTCCTCCAATAGAAATAAGGAAATATGAATGTGGAGAGCGCGAGTAAGGAGTTAAATTCGTTTGTTGCGATGACGGTGCCCAGCATGCATCCGCCCGTTTCGAGAAATCTCCGTATCGAACATGTACAGTACATGTAAAGTTCAAAGGATATCAAGATCATCCTCTAAACCCATCGCACCAATTTGTAAATAATTTGATATAGTACGCGAAGGTCTCTGCGGCGATTTCGTGCTCTGGAGAAACAGTTGACCTTTATCAAGAGTTTGTGTTTGCCAGTAATAGATCCACCGAGTGTATTTTATTGCTTGAGAAGTGCCTTTTTCAATGGTTGCAAATAGTCCGCCGTAGGTTGGGTAAGGCGCGCACGATCAACTCCGGTCTCCTAAGACAAATAAGAAGAAAGATAGAAGATTCACCACAATCGTCGATTCCAGATCACCGGACAGGACAGAACAGACAGGGCAGCACAGCACAGAATAGAAGCATAAACAACGCAGAAAGAAAACAGATAAGGATAGACAGAACATGAAAACACGCGACCAGCAACGAATGTACTATACATGTATCGAGGAACATGGGCCCTGTGGAATACGGGTGCCGCGAATATAGCCCTGCTGGGTGAAGTCCGCTGGCCAGCGCTTGCCGCGAATGTGAGCCGGTACAATTTTCGTGCGTTGCTGGGGATGAGAGGTCGCGTAACCATGCAATTTCGTTCACCGTCACGCGTGTGGTGGCACTGCATGAGTGCCGAAGGTGAACCCAGTTTCGCCCTGTGGAGGGCTTTCCTCAGTATTTGGGACGAACGAGAGGCTGGCGCAGCGATTACCGCACAGCACATAAGCGAACCGGTGGGCGGGAGTGTTGGCTGATCGGTATACGGCGAAGTATGGAATGCCGCTTTGATTAGCCAGATGGTCGGAGATCTTGGTGCGCGGTGTTGTCGGCTATCTCCTTGACTGTTAAAGTCTGCAGGCCAGAACTGCGAACGGGCCCATGGGGGGGTAACCACATATACCCACGCGTCTGATAACTTGACTTTGACTTTGAGAGGCGGGTAGAATCGTCGGTGGGATCCCAGAGCATTCATCAACTTGAGGGTATGGAAGTTGTCGCGGTCAGGATAGCCTTGGGTCGTTACAGTGGCTATAGAGGCGGTTTTGAGATCTGAGTATTCGCCAGCAGTGTAGCCTGTCGAGTGACCAGCTTTATAAACGTCTTTGATCTTCGTATTGGGATTGTCCCGTTTCTCAGTTTCAGATCGAGTGGCAATGTCATTCCTGGCGGCGGAGTGCCATATGCCGCGATCTATTCAGCGCTTCACCCGAAATTTGGTTTCAATCGCGCTCAACAATCGAGTATGGATGAAGGTTGCTCTGGATCCGTCTTGTCTTCTCGTACCTGGAGGAAAGCTTCTGTTCCAGCTCTTTGCTTCGCAATATGTTTGTGATTTTTCGGGGGAACATTGCCGGTTGGGATACCTATTGGGACCATAAGGTGGTGCCCCGGCTTTCTGCGGTTATATTGCGGCATTTTGGGGGGACGGGGAACGTTGAAAGATGGGAGGCGATTAGCATCCAGGAACCATCGAAATCGGAGGTGGGCAAAATTGCATAGCACAGGGTGTCGCGATTGAATTCAACAAAAGGCTTGGCCAATCTTTGCCTTCATGTCCCACTTCAATTGGCCATTGAAGGCCAATTGGCCCGCTTTGTTTATTTTCCTAGACTTTGGTTATTATGGTTTGTAATCTTCGAGATTATAACAATCTAAGCAAACCTGTACAGGCAAATGCATGGCGGGTATTTAGGGCGCAATAATTGCAATAGACAATTCTGGATTGCCTCTTTCCAACCAGGGGGCTTTTTGAATTCAATGGGGCCTTGCTGGGTATTCTCCTATTTTCGGTATTAATTAGTTTCTGTCTATACAGATGAACAATAGTGACCTTACTGAGAATGGGCTCACTTCAGGAGCTCCTATGTCCTTCATCCACCAGGTTGTGCCCCGTAAAGTCACTTTCTCACTAGATGAGGAGCCAACTCGAGCTTACGAGAGTAAAGCCGGCGAGCGGCGGATCAAGGCAGATGGTATCTTTTCACCCACTTGCCTTCCTGAACGGAATGGAATCCTGGAGTTCAGGGTGCGCCTGATAACACACCGCAGCCAAATCGGTTGTATGGCTAAGCCAACAGCTGCTCCAATGACCTCTGGGTCATTAAAAATCCATTTGTCGATGCCCATGTCCAACTCTCCCATGACCGCTGTAAACAAGGATGAATAGGGGTTGGGGGCGCGTTTTCCACCTTTAACAATCCAAGAAGGCGTTTTTGCAGGAATTTTCCACATAGCAACAGCAAATCAATAAGATTTGAAGAGTTTGACAAGTTCATCGTGCTCTAATGTTGTGTCATGTTGTTCTTCACCCAAGACACAAGTGCGACGTGAACTTCAGTGTATCGATCTTCGGAACTCGGCTGCGAGGTTTTTGATGCTTTGCTCAGAGTGGTTCGTATCTATCCCGAACATTCGGAATCCTTTCGAGTGGTGAAGGGAATAGAAAACATGATTCGCTGTGGGGAAGCAGAGACCAGTAACAAAAACAGTAGAATAGAATAGTCCCATGTGGGCATTTGAATGGTTGCGTTTGCTTCCTGGTTGGCCATTGACTGCAGAGGTGGATGTATTTGCATTTTGAGAAAGGAAAAATCACAGAAAAATGCCAAAACACCATCACGGTGGCACTTCGTGCGCTCCTCTCCAGGAGGTGGCTCCAACTAGTGTTGTCTAGTCCCATAAGGTCCACCACTGCAAGACCAGTTGCTTTCGCGGCGGTATCTGACTAACGTCTTGTGTGAGTCCCGGTACAAGAACAGGGCATTGAAGTAACTAGCATGTGCCGTTTGCGGCGAGGATGGTTCTGGCAGACTATATTAACTTATATTAGCAGTGGCTAGATGCCACCTTACAGATATACCAATGCGCATCTGGTCCTAGGGAAAGAGTTAGTACAGCGAAAAGAAAGCTTAGAAGGACAGTCTTAAAAAGTCCTACAAGAAAGGTAAGGTCCTCCTTGACTTGTGCGGCCGTGGCTGCCCTTTTCTGTCACTCTCTTCTCCTCCTCGGCCTTTTTCTTTCCTCTCGGCGAGTATATGCCTTTTTATGGCGGGATTCTCCACAAAAAAAAATCATCTTTCGCGTGGCCGCAACGGTTGCAGATGGTGCAGAAGGCGGAATGCTAAGAAATTGACGCACGGAGTGCTTGAGAATTAAGTAAAGTTGATCACGCTTATATGTATCAAGACATCGGTGGCGGACTGTCTTGTATCTGTCAGAAGCTTGTCGGAGGATTTCAATGTCACGATTCTTCTGAGTATCTTTCGTTCCTGTCAGAGGGAGTTGACCTGTCCAGGTGCTCATAATTCGCAGCTTCTCCATGTCTGATTATCATCGTCAGACTCCCGGGATTTCCTTGGTTGCTAGCTTTCTCGTTAGAGAGTGTGAGCACGAGTACGTTTGCAAGAGCAAGTTTCCTCAAGGAGAGAAAAGAAGAAAAACGGGAGAGGAAAGACGATTGTAAAGAATTATATGTTTGTAGGAAGATCTTCCATATCATGCCCTTCCACAACAACATTCCGTTCTTAGAATTTATTCAGTTGCAACAGCTCCGTATTTGTTGAACCGATTTCTCAAAGCCCCAACCAGCAACATGCAAGGTTGTCTGATTGAATCATGTTTCAGGGTCAAGAGGCGGTTTTGGACGAGATCCTGGTCTGTGAGAACAAATCAAGCTCCTGAGGTTGTCCAGGGTTTGCGCATGGCGCGTACAATAGTATCCCGGCCTGGTTGAGGAGGATCTACCATTGTTAGCAATGCCTCAAGGGTGTTTGTACCCCTTACGTGTACTCTGTAAAATGACTACTTACCAGTCGTGGAAAACCCATTTCTTCCAGTGTCATGCGGCGTACTGCCCTGCCGGCCCTGCTGGCATTGAATACTCCTTTCCACAAAAGGAAGCTGCTTCACGCTCGAGATTACTAGGACCCCTTATGCAAGCAGCACAAGTGTCAGTCAGAATCCACAGTGTAGTCTGTTTTGCACTTACGAGGCAAATCACGCGTGGTTGTTGCGGGTTCGCAGCACATGTTTCTGCAATTAATAGGGTTGACGTTCATTCTCCATGGATGTGATTATTGCATAAGAGCCTTTGGATCTTTGAATCGACACATCCAGCAGGTTATGAGACCTTTGGAATGGGCTTTGTCCAAGGAACTTCAAAAATCCCTAGATTATCGGATTAAATCCTCCAACCACTTGCCAGCGAGTGTTGTGCTCGGTTATCCCAGAATACCACAGGACTTGCTTCCCCTGCAGCCATGGATGCCATTTTGTTATAGGAAGACGGTTTGGTCATAAGTGGTTAGAAAACCATATCGGGGTCTTCCCAGCTATCATGTACTTCGATATTTGCCCTAATAATGGGGGCCATGTCGTATCATCGGAAACCTAACTCTCCTTACTGAGCTAGGTTCTCCTCCGACCAGGGTTATTGAATCCATACTTCATACATGGATCTTGGCGTTTTGGCTTCGTCAACAAATAGTTCGGCCCCGTCATCCATGCACATGATGTCGGATATGCCACCTTTTCCAGGCACTGTGTCTGTTTCTTTTGCGGCTCTGAACGCTCATAGACAATTTCGCCTTAGGTCCTCCATGTTGTTTGTTCACTCGTAATCACCCCCGTGGGGAACATCCTTGCTGTTCTGTAGCTGAATATGGCCTCAGGCTTCAATGGTTCATCAAGATCTCATACATTATGGCAACCGGCGACTTTTTAGCATGTAGATGTGTTGACAACTTCGACCGAGACGTTGATCAGGCTCTTTGCGTGACGATGCCGCAAGCTGGCCTTTGTCGGAGAACCCCGTCATGCTATGGAAAACAGAATTGGATCTGGTTGTTGGAAAAATATGTAGATATAGTCGATGCAGTCGATAGTTCCAGAGCTAAAAAAAAAACAAGGAAAAAAGAAAACGGTTTTATGCTAGGCAGTCGTCATTCAGGACAGGAAGATTGTACGATGTTATCACAAACCTTACTCAACTGGAAATAACGGCACCCAGATGGCTTCCCAAATTCTGATATCTTCACATCATGTGGCAGCCAGAATCCAAATTTGTCAGATAGTAGTTTCCCCCCGACATTCCCAAGGATTTGCAGTGAACTTTTGATTCTTACTGCACCGTTGTTCAATTCGCCCCGTATCTGGCTTTGAGAGTCTTGTAATTTCAGCGGGCAAGCTAATGATTCTAGTCCAATCTGCACATAACTGGATAATTGTAATGACGATCCAATTGACCGCTTTGGGGGAACAACAATCACTCGGAAAAACTGCAGTTCTCCCAGCAGTTTCACTTCTGTGACTGCCCCTGCTGCTCACGTTTCCTAGGAGGAAGCTTGATACTACTTGGAGTCGGTGCCACGCAAGCGTGAGTCCCAAAGCGCCCATCTGAGGAGTATATCCACGACACTGTGGTTGGTCTGGGACTCCACAAACAGGATCAATTTGGCGGCCATCGAACATGTTTTCAGATGACAGATCGTCCTTCGCCAAAGCACGAAAGTCCTTGTCAACCTGGTCCAGAACAGTTGTGGTGTACTAGAGTAAACCAGCCGGGTTTGGAGGAGGCTGCGAGCATAACCAATTTGGTTGCTGCAAGGCCTCCAGATGCCCAACCAGGTCGTTGGGTCTGACCATCACTGGTGTGCCACTGCACGGCCAGCGGTACGGATTTCCTGCAGCCTCTCGGATAATTTCAACGAGTGTTGTTGACCGTCCCTTCATCTCATGGAATTCGTCCACAAATACACGTCCCCATACCACGCCGGGTATGGTCAGAGTGTTGGGTGGACTCCTGCGAGCACTCGGGCCAAAACCGTGGACCTTCTAATTATTGTCGATCAATGCGATAAAAACAATTGTTCCATATTTACGGACACTTGTCCGGGCAGGAGGCCATTTTTGGGAGAATTGATCGCTGTTCGAGATCCGTCTTTATAGGTGACAACGTTTGCAAATTCATGATTTAATATTTTCTTTGGTGCTAGTAGGAAAATGTGAATGGCCTGGGAGCCATGCCACGTGTTGACATAAGCTGCAAGGTTCTTTTCGCCGGTAATGACACGTCGTCTATCACGCATTCGAACTTGGTCATGGAAGGTGTCGTCTCTGCCTGAGATGGACGTTGAGAGGGTTCGTGGATAATAACGTTCGTTGCTTGTCTCCACCTTCTCTCGTTATTTTGAGAGAAAACCTCGATTTTGTGAATCCTCGCATCATGCCATCTGGAACCTCATCTTCTGGTTGTAGAATTGCCATGTTGTGCACAGGACGGCGCGTTGATGGTTGGCAAGAGCATCAGTTGAGAGAGACGACTGAATAATTAGTCATAAAGCATATAAGATAGAAATATGGGACATGGAGATCTCACTGGTATCGAAGTCCTAATCCCGAGATGCTTCTCAATCCTTTCAAGACGAGCAAGGATTGTACGGATTGTCTGGTCGTTAGGATCTAAATCCACAGCTGGTGCTTTGCTGGCCACAACCAAGGAAGCCAATGTTGGATCCATTCCTTGGCTGAGAGCACTGCTTGATGTGATGATTTCTCTCGATCCGATAGACCTCCTCTTCGTACGCTTTCTTCGCTGCGTCGCTGCGCCTGGAGTCCGCTTTGTACTGTGTGCGCGCGCGTCTCTGGACCTAATCCAGAAGACCATGTTGAAAATTTCAAGGTAATTCAATTACGATGGAACGTGAAGGTAAAATTCTGGAGATGCTGAATCATCATACAGTGTTCGGGGGGTTTAGTGCTTTTACTTCACGCCCGCTTCGACAATGCATTGAGGGAAGGTGCAGGCCGGCCCTCCATCCTATCATGGAAAGACATCACGAGAGCTTGTCTCTGGTGACAGATCCATCTTGCTGTATAGAGATATTCTGCGTCCTGTAATCACGAGTCATATCCTCACCAACGGCAGAGATAGGATGGCATCTTACCTCATAGAGATATGCTAGATATCTCTAAGGAGAGTGGTGACGATGGTGGGATCATGAAAACGAGAGTGGGATTTGTGGGAGATTATATGTGAATAAGACGACGGACGGTGAATTCCGCGAATCCTGAGGATAAGCGAGTCGAGTGAGTGACTGAAGCGGCTGGTTCCGTACATCTACCAGGACCAGGCCTAAGATCTTCACTTTCGTAATAGCAGCATGGCAAAATCATTGGATGTCGTCATTCACATACCACTTTGTACATCTGGTTCAGTACATAGCCGTCTGGAGGGAGTCTTGTTAGTAACTCTCTCTATCGTCAAAGGCGGATCCAATCAGCCCTAGAAGCTGGCATAGAAGGGTTTCTGTAGCGGAAAGCGTGGAGCAGATCAGGCGCCTCTTTTTGGATCAGAATTTCGTAGAAAACCCACAGAGACTGTGCGAGGAAGAGGGCCTTCGCTGCTTTCTTCCCTTGCGGGATCAACTCCTGAATGTTTTCTGGGAGTTGAGGCTTTGTGAATCCCTCGGGATTCGGGCTATCGTAATTCACTAGAGATGGATAATTGGCGGCAAGAAACATCAGATTCACAGGAATCGCTTTCCACTCTATTATGCTGGTTATCTGCGAGGGATTGGCTCTGTCAACGAAGATATTGTCTGAGTGCAAGTCATTATGCCAAATGATCCCAGCATTTAGAGAATAACGTTTGGGCAGAACGAACTCGTCTCTCTCTCTCTCCACCAGCGCATTCATCAGTTCACCAGGAGAACTCCCTAATTCCACGAGTCTATCAGCAAAGTAACCAGATTGAAGCTCGAAGATTGTCAAGTCCTACATGGGCTTCAGTCCACGCCGAGATCTGACCTGCGATCGTCAAACCAAGATCAAACCCAACACAGGCCACCTCGTCTTGGTACAAACAGAGTTGTATCGAAAATGTACAGTACATATAGACATCGTGGTTGCAAGTTGTTCAGGATAGGAATTGAAGATAATTGCCGAACACTTTCCCTTTGTTGGAGATAATGGCATTATGTTGAAAGCTGACAACAATGATAAGTATGTTGGTAGGCAGGGTTGAGTTCCAAGTGTTGACGAAGACGATGAAAAGCTAGAATTGCTAGGCAGATTGGAGAAGGTCAAAGTCTTGGAAAACGTAGGGCGATATATCTGATCCCAGTCTCGGTTTGATTCCATCCTCTTGATAAGTTGTCTCGGGTGAATGCCTGCTTGCACGGGTAAGTGCTTTTTTTTTGCTCCTGGAAGTTAACAAACAGCAGGACTGAGATCCCGCTTCACGCGTGATCTGTACAATTTGACAGGATAGATTCCTCATCAGGAACTTTGAGATTATTAGTTCTGTAACAGGATTTGTCAGTTGCAGCTTTTACTTATTTAACAATATTAGCCACTTGTAGTTCCAGCAGTGTCAGAAAGCCATCAAACAGAAAGAGCTTCATTATCGATTCTCTATAGGTTAATAGAATGATGGCCCGAGGCTGGTCAATATCCAACGATATGAAGAGAGAAAACGCGCGTGCGACAGAGAAGGGCAGGAAATTCGAATGCGACAGAAAAGTACATACATACAGGCGGAAAACAAAGATAACTAAATCCGAGGGCTTCCTGTTGTCTATATAGGAACCACATCCAATCCCAATCGTCCTTCTCAGCCTCAATCTGACACTGCTAACGCGATCGAAAGACTTGACCTGAAATATTCCTTGCCTCTTTTCTTTTCCTTTCAGATGGCAGAGACCCCAACCTTGGCATCGATTAAGCGGTACCGCTCCTTCTCCTTGCGGTCCTTGAGTACGACGGCTACACAAATGAGAAGGATCATGTCAACCGCTAAAGAGCAACAACTGTCAGCTTTTTGTTTTGCCGTTCATTAATCCGAGAATGCAGAAAATAAGGAGAAGGGACTAAAAAAAAGGGGGAAGGCATGGGGATACAGAATGAGCAAGAAGGAAACTAACCTACGACGCCAAAGTCAGCCGTGAAAATCAAGTCCAAGAGTGCATTGGCAAAACTCGAGAACGGCCCAACACACCCTTGCGTCTCTGCAGCAACGAGGGGAGTCGTGCAGACACTGTCTCCAACAAATGGAGGTGACGTGCTGTTGAAGTAGCCGCAACATTGGAACTGTGTATTGAACAATGTCAGCATCGATCAAACCAGACAGAGATGCAGATTTGTCAAGAATTTTTTTTATGCAATCCCATATCAATCCTAAATTAATGTTATATAGGCAGGGATGGAGGGAAAATGTTGCTTACGCACCCTCTGCTGCAGCAAACTCTGCATAGCAGCCGTTTGCTGGCCCCATACAGTACCCAATTCGGCACGTGTCCTCAGAGTCTCGAACCAGACAATCACCCCCAACACGAGCGTAAACGTGCCACACACCAGGATCATCCAGCCCTGAAGTTTGAGCCAGAAGCGATTATCGGACATGAGCAGGCCTGGAATGGAGATAACGAAGGTGACAAAAACAAATATAGCATTGACGATCGCCGCTGTAAAAGTCCATCCGTTAGTCTCCGCGTTCTAACAAATTGACAGAGGGGGAAAAAAAAGGGATGGTAACCTTTGAATGGGACCATCTTGAAGAGCAGAATGTCTGGTGCAGTTTCCAAAGTCGGCGCAGACTGAGTCCTCCTCTCGAGCACAAGTGACGCTACCAGGAGGAGCACACCCCCGAGGACAAATAATAGATCCGCGCCAGCATACGTCAAAAGTACCTTGTCGATCTTAGCCATTTTGACAGCAACCCTGGTACCTGCAGGTGTGTAGGTATGTCCTCCTTCTTCCCTCGTCCGGACTTGCCTTTTCTGCTCCGCGTGCGCTTCCTAGTGGGAACAGAATATTGAAGCTCGATCCAAAAAGAAAGTTTGTCGACGACCAGCGTCTGGAATTATTCCTCTTGATTTTCAATGAATGTATTGGAAAATTAAGTATCGAAAAGAAAAAGGAAAAGAGAAAGAGAAAAGACAAAGCTGAGCCTGCTCCCAAGAATGGAAAGGGGACAAAAATTACAAGCAAGAAACGAAAATTGCCCAGCAATCAATGCTGTCACCCACTGGGGACTGAGAAAAAGTGATGAGGAGAAGAGGAAGAAAAAAAAAAGGAAGAGATGTAGAAGAAGATAGAAAGGGGAAAAAAAAAGAATTTGAAACGCGAGCCTGGTGAACGAGGTAGGGTAAATTGCATACCACGGTCATCTTGGACGCGTGGTGCGAACCTGCACGGTCCATATGATGAGACACAAAAGGAGTTCTATCAAAGCCCTAGTGCCCGGCTGGAGTCGAGTTTCGACCAGAGGTGAGGCAGGTTTCCTACTGCTGGCGTTTCAGATAGGAGCCAGTCTCAGCCAGATGCGTGCTTGGCGCTGTATCAGGGACCCGAAACACTAACGGCCGCTGAGTGCTTTATAAAGGACTTCGTAGTGGTCATTGTAGATAGTCTGGCAACTAAATATGGCCGGTTCAATTATTTCCGTTCCGATTGTCATATGTGACTAACTGCATCCTTGAATTCATTGTTTGAAGGATTTATTAGATGCAGATGCGGATCTGCGCGCAACACCAGATGGCGTGGTCCAAGCGTCTGCCGGCAGTTGATGGGTGGAGCCGGCAGATCATTCGGTAGGCCCTATATAAAAACTCTAAGATTATCATGTTGACTGCGTAGATAATTCAACAAGGCTTTTGACGTTGCAACATGTACAGTTCCATAGCCATCGTTATCTTGGTACTAGCAGAAACGGGACACAACACGCTAAGAAGTCCCAAGGGGTATCATGCATTTGGTGCCTACATTCTCAATGCGGTCGTCGGAATCTCGCATTGTGTTGTAAAACCTGTGATTGCACTGATCCAGGATAAGAACGCAACAGTAGGCAGGGTTGATTCTGGTCTGAAATTGAAGCAAGCGGGATTGTGTAAATAGTTGGCCCCCTCTCCAGTCAGTCTCGACGTATCCTTCATTTGAGGTCTATTATCTCCAAGGAATCTGAATCAGGATTATTCAGAGCCAGCTTCCGGTCAAGTATCAACCAGCTCCTTCCAGTCTCTCCGACATCGCTTATCAAGACGAAATGCCAGTAACGCTTTTGGGCCACGCCAGCCAATCCCGCCATTCCTCTCCCAGGGCGGCATCTATCTGAACGACCAAGTAACGCGCCCAGCCGCGCATGTACCACTGGTCGTCAATTCGCTGCAACAGCACGGCATAGTAGGCGAGGATAATCATGGCCTCCGCCTGTCGATCGCGCAGCAGATCGAGGTAACGCTGCGGGATGGCAATGGGCCAGACGAAGATCATCGGTACGAAGTCCTGTTTACGCTCGGTCAAAATCGAGACCTGGGTATATGTATTGAGCAGCTCGTGAACGGCCAGTGCATAGGCGTTGGAGCTCTCTCGGTCCTGCGCCAAGCGCTCCGACGCGCAGAGCCGCAACAGGTCCGTCACCCGGTCATGGTCTGGAGTCCGGTGCGATCCAGCAGCTTCGTGGATCATACCCTTTTTCACCAGAGGAGCCAGACAGCTGCGTGACACTGTCTCCCACTGCGTCTGCAGGACCAAGTTGCAACCCCGGACCATGTGGAACCAGTCAAAAACATCTTTCTGAAAACCACTGCTCTCTGGGCTGCGTGGGGTAGCAAAAGCCAAGACGACGATGAAGCAGGAGAAAGCAAAGATGGCGACGCAGTTGGATGTATCAACCCGGTTCAGGGCATCGTGGAAGGCTGCCAGAGCGATACTCTGATGGGTTGTGGCACACAGCGCGAGGGCCTCCTGCCGATTCGGGTACAGATGGCCAAGGTGGAGTGCGGCAACCGCCAGAATGCCACGAAGAAGGAATTCGTGTTTAAACCCTAGCTGGACGACCTTGATCTGCCACAGGTCATGAAGGTCAAGCATTGACCCTGATGGGAGTGTCTTGTAGGTCACAGTGGTGTAGTGGTGCAGGAGCTCCAGATCGCTAATATCGAGCCCTGACGGAGTCCTGACTGCCGCATCCACTGTAAATAAGGGAGCGTACAGTGGCGAAACAGGACTGCGATGACTTGCCGAAGATGATAGCCCAGGTGATCGAGCCGGCGTAGGATGAGAGCCGAGAGGCCGTCTGCCCGCCAGCTCACACTCGATCTGCCTGCGGGCGCAATTGGAGCATTGCGGCGGCCGCTCATCGCACTACCAGCAGGATTTAGTTAGCAGTGGAAAGGAGTGAGGGAGAGGAGGGGCGGAGATTCAGCTGATCAGTGTGGAAGAGGAGAACATGTAAATACTTTGATATGGCGGATTTTACATTGGGTGCATCCCGTTCTGGATTTCGTATGTGACCGTCGACCTCCCATTACGGCCGATAGGGGTCAACATATCGTCAGATATGTGGGTGTGAGGGATAATAATACTGCCAGAAGACACGACAATCAGTAAGGTCAAGGAGGCTGACGATCGCTGCCTGGCGTGGCACGTGGGGTATAAGCGCGTGTATCGTTGACAGCGCCAAGATCCTCGGACTCCAATCAATCAGATTGCCGCAAGAGGGCGCCGTTGTCCATCTACAGTACAATGCGACAAGATAGCCAATGGGACCAGGTTAGCTGGTTCTCGGCAGGTGGGAAAATTAAGCTATAGGCGTCTTGCCCGATCGGTGCAAAGGCGATCGAGTGGATAAGAAAAACTACGGAGTACGCGTATGGCCCATAATAAGGGGCCATGTATTGTTATCAATGATCATGGCCATCCTCTGACACCACGATTCTTTGAACCCGTCATTTCTCTGAGGCTTCTCCTGTAAACGCCATCTCAGGACGCGGTCATCCCATCCAGAGCCCGAATTCGGTCTTCCCCAGCCACGTTCAACACTAAAACACTTTGCATCGTAAGCATTCCATAAGCAATACCATCAGACTACCTAGGTCGTGGCCTCCTATGAAGGCAAGAAAGGATACTCATACGCAGCTTTAAAGGCCTGCAGAATCGCAACCCGCTCAGCGAGAGGCCTGTGGTGAAAGTCGAACACTTGAACTCCAAGACACCATGTCATGGGAATGAACACAAGATAGCCTCCGGGTATCCACATTGTTTCAGATTGTTTATCCTGGACGTAATCGACTATCATTGAGGTCGACTTGCATTGGAAATTTGTGAGCTCGCAGAGTGCCTGTATTTCGTTCTGAGCATTGCTTGCTTTCCTTGACTCTAGTGAATCGGATTTGGAGCCTTCGTATCGGATTCTTAGCAATGTATATCAGTATGGATATGCTTTTCTATTCACGTGGGGTGTGTAAAATGCACTGCATGTAAATCTTCATGGCATGTTTCCGCCCAGGCCCTGCCCTTCGTTCGCATAATAATGTCGCCCAGGCCCCAGAGGTGTCGTCCAATTCTGTTGCCATGTCCCTGCTGAACTGGTTGAACTTTTTTTCATCTAGCTTCACACCTTATATCCAAGTGGTAGGCTGCTGTTGCTCAGGTGCTGGGAAAACATGCTCACTGTCTTCCCACAACTCCCCGAACGATTTCATCTTGGTGTTGCAAGTAATAAGCAATGCAAGAGACAGTGGAGATGCAAGATGGGTGATGTCGACAGAAGCTACGGTTTTGGCGGGACTAAAAGGATTCCGGCAACCTTGTAGACATGTGACCTCATTACTCAAACAGTAAATGGATTATTCTGTCTCTACACGTCACGGGTGAGTTGATCACTTGACTCGCCCAGCTCACCCTGGAAGCAGCAGTGTCCGAGTAAGGTAGGAGTGCGCTGCTCGCGGATATTTTCACAATATTTTTACCAGGTACCTAGGTAGACACGACACAAGGCTATGTTGCAAGAGCCCAGCAGCCTACAAGCCATCCACGATCTCAGATTAACCAAGTCCCATCTCATCGTCCGATCGCAGGACCCTAGCTGAAACTTGGAGGACCAGTAAGGCTGGCTGTGTCTTGTCTGTGCCATTATTCTTGGACATGGCATCGAACATGTGGTCAGGTGCCTCCTGCTACTTACAATGTATCTGCAGGAACTGATAGTGGATTGTAAGTGAAAATTAGTATAGAGTAGGTCTGTACTCCGTACTCCGTCAGTACTCTGTACTTGCTGCTAAGAATACAGATGACTGGCCTGGTGGAATCGTTGGATGTTCTATTTGTAGGTCCGGAACACGACTTCCTTCCCATCCATGGTCTTGGCAGTCTCCACCGTCCGCGATGAGCAACAGTCCGCGCATGGCGCAAGGAGCAAAACAAAAGGAAACACGGAACGCGTCGCGAGCAGAGACTCTCGACCAGATACAATAGGGCTCAAATTGGACGAGCAAGTCTTCTGAACAGGACATTTTGCCCGCATACAAAGTACTCCGTACATGCTCTGTGATTCGTATGGCACAAGAGGATTGTTGTGCGGCTAGCCCATGGATCTGCGATAGGAAGGATTAGACTAAAATTTAGGTAGTGTTGGTCACCCACCAGGGCATGGCCTAGGCGCGTCTGAGGTTGTCAGGCTGCCCAGGGTGCTCAACTTGGTACGTGCGACTTGCTCTAGCCTCTAGGGGTCCCTAAGATTGATGCCCCAGCGCCGGGGAAAGGGGTGGATACTGTCTGGGCCTTGTCCCTTGCCCAGTGTCCGCGCGGTATGGAGTACTCCGTACGGAGTGCGTAGGTAATCTGTATCTGATTCTAGCCAGACTTTGCATCGGTTCCCATCAGCAGCGCTGGCACCCCCAGGATTTCAGCGAGTCAACAAGTGATGTGATGTGCGTCCAGGGGGTGGCCCATGGCCCGTGGGCCTGGGTCATCAACCCTGCAGTACGGAGGGCATACCATTTTCCTGTCTTTGACTACCTTGCTGAAAGTTTCCTTATACTTTCTGCAGGTTCCCGAGTCGACCGGCGGATGACAGATTGATAGCGGACCCTGCTCGTGTGTTCTCGAGTCGGAGGCACGTCTAAGCTCCAGGTCGAGGATTCCGATTTGATCGCGTCGATCGTGAGGGGAGTGCCGAGAGCACTACGGAGGAGTCCGTTTGTACGGAGTCAACTGTACGAAGTACCGAGTACCTGCTGGTACCGATGTGCCTGTTCGAGGACTTGTGACCGACCCCACGTAGGTAGAATGCAGAATGTCTTTCCATAGAAACTCGACCCCCAGCCAGAGGCTTCTCTGATCTGCTCTGGACTCCACGACTCGCCCGTGCCCGGACTGGAGGTGACACGGTGGTGTTATGCCATTACGCTGGCGATCGTCGACGCCCAATCAGGACCGCGGACGGCGCGGCCCACCGGTAATGTGACGAAACCAGCGCGGGGTGGGTCTGTAGCAAGCGACCGCCTGCCGTGTGCAGCGAACGCCAGCCCTTTTGGGTCTGGACCCGCGTCTTGGTCGCCCTTTCTCGCCTCGCGTTGTACCGTGACCACGCTAACCCAAGAGGGCCCGCCAATCAGCGCTCGGACCCCCGCCCCAGCGGGCGCGCCAGGCGGGCGCCCATTGGGCGGCTGGGCTCCACTGCTGCGTTCCCGTTCGCTCGCAGGCTCCCCCAGCCGCGCCGTTGCCTCGCGGCGGTCGCTCCTGTCTCGCCGCCCGCCTCGGGGCGCTCTCGGCCCTCTGGCCTCTGGGCTCTGCCCTCGGGCTGCCACCTGCCCGTTTTTCTTTCCCCCAAGATCCTCTTTTCCTCCTTCGCGACCTTACCCAAAAAACCTGCGACTCTCCAAACGCGTTACTCGATTCGGCCTTCCTACCATCCCCCCCAAGCATCATTCCTCTTTGGGCACCGTATCTTCAATCTCCAAGCAAGCTCTCCATTCACTCGTCTCTCGTATCGTCGTACCTCTCAGTTGCTCCATCATGGCTGACATGTCTGCCGTCGCCCCCGAGGAAAATACCTCGCCCACCCAGGACGAGCTGCAGCAGGCCGGCAACGGCGCCAACGCCGCCGCCGCCGACAACCGCGGCACCAAACGCCCTCGTATGAGCGCGACGGGCGACGACGACGATGATGATGAAGACAAGCCCGGTCGCGAGCGCAGGAAGATCGAAATCAAGTTTATTCAGGATAAGTCGCGTCGCCACATCACCTTCTCCAAGCGGAAGGCCGGTATCATGAAGAAGGTACCGTCGCGTCTCATTTCTTCCTCCACGCCCTTCGACGCGGATCCTTGCACCTTTTCCCTTGAATTTCCTTGGGCCTTTCGCGTATGCATGAGCACTGACAATGCTTTCAATGATGCCAGGCATACGAACTGTCCGTCTTGACCGGCACCCAGGTGCTGTTGTTGGTCGTGTCCGAGACCGGTCTCGTCTACACGTTCACCACCCCCAAGCTGCAGCCACTGGTTACGAAACCAGAGGGAAAGAATCTCATTCAGGTATGTGGCAAACCGAAGGAAGATGTCCTTCTCTGCCAGGCACAGAGCTAACCTGGGACAGGCATGCCTCAATGCCCCCGAGCCCTCGGGCAACGAGAATGGAGTTGATACCACCGACGTGCCCGCCGATTCCCCCGAGGATGTGAACCACAACAATGTGAATGCTCCGCAGGCGAACATCCCTCGACCAGGGGGCATGCATCCAGGCTATATGACCAATGAGCAGCAACAACAGATGGCCTACTACCAGAATCTGCGACAGCAGCAGCAGGCCGGTGGACAGTACCCGGGGATGCCCGTCGGAGGCCAGATGCCGCCACAGCATCAACCTACTGCATAAAGAGTTTTTCCATATACTCTGCCCCTCGTGGGAAGATGGTTGCTTGATGCTGGAGATATCGAGATGGTTCTGGTCTCTGTTTTCTATCTATTTTACTACCCTATTATCCTCAACTCTCGCCTTCTCTCATCTCGATGCTCCGCCTCTGCTTGTGATTGATACCCAACGATCCCCGTCCTAATCGATCTACCAAATCTTGTGCTGCACACCCCCTAGTCTCTGGAGAGCTCTGATCCAGACCTTTGCAAAATATGGGCCTGTTTCCCTCTGGTCTTTGAATCCCGTTGCTAGATTCATAGACCAAGGTCTGTCATTTCTTCGATCTCGAGCTCGTGTTGTTTCCTTTGAACACTTTGCCGCTGCCGCTGATTGGAGAATGACAAAAAGAGAGAACATGACGAAGAGAAACCCAGCTGGGCAGAAAGGGAAAATCCGGAAAAATATCGAGAAAAAAATAAAAAAAAAGAGAAAAAAAAATGTCTTACGATCGAGACAGCTGGAGGAGTGAGCACTCAGTGATCTCGACTTCCTTTTTCTGTTTCATCAACTAGACACGGCGGAGGTGTGGGTGTTCCTGGTGTATGTGGTTTTTTACCCGTTATGTCTGTGTGCGGAATGGTTGCGATTTTTTCTTCGTCTATGGACTCTCAGGTCTCGTTCTGTCCGCTTAATCCCCGCTTGTCTTCTTGTCCTGCTTGTGTTGTTATCTAGTTGCTTTCCTTTTTTCTATTATTGTGCTTTATCGGTTATCTTGTGTTCCATCATCCTTTGTATCTGATCAGTCCTCATCTCATGTTCTATATGGTTAATCGACGGAGACTCCTGTGGCAGGTGGCTCATTGCGCCCAGCGTTTTCGGTTTCGATCGAAAAGGTTGGGAGCAGGCGATGTCACTGTTGCAGGATGATCCTAATGGAGAAAGCAGCAAAAAATGTTGATGAGTTGTATGGATGGCTACAGGCTGGAGATGGATGGAGGGATCGGTGCCAGGGATATGGGAAATTTCGCAGGTTAGTATCGTAGGGAAGAATGGACACTGCTTTCTTAAGTCATCTGTCTCGTGTACATGTCAGTAAACTGCCTACCAGGAATAGGTTAGGTCGTCTTCCTCCCTGAATAAGCTTAAATAAGAACAAAGCAATAATAATAAGTCTACAGAGTACGCTATACCTCCTTGAAGTTGTATACCCCCTACGGTATAGTCCCGACGACTCCGATCGATTGATTATCGGAGTAATTATTAAAATAGTGTCTGTGGACTCCAGTCTCCGCCGTGGAGAGGAGCCGATCGATCGATCGATGTTCGTATGTAGTTTAGTCGATTTATTTATTTGCGGAGTATTATTAAATGCGGCCTGAATCTGAATTTATTTGTTTTTTTTTATTTACGGAGTATTTAAACTGCATCATCCACCGTTCAACGGGCATGACGTACTAAACAAATCGGTTTTTTTTTATTTTGTCTACTTGATACGGAATATGCTACCATCTCTGGATATAGAGAGTTTAAGTCGATGCTACAAAAAAAAAAAAAGAAAAGAAAGACAATAATAATACTGCTACAGTACATATCAGATAAACAAAAGAACGATTAGAATAAACCGTAATAAGAAAAAATAATACATACCATACACCCTCTTCGCAACCTGGCTTGACCCACACTAATACTGTCTTTTCCCTCTTTCATTGTTAGCAGACTTTAAGATGATGGTTTTCCACTGTTGATGCACGAAGATGAACCACCCCAGGCCAGACAGACAGAGCATGAGTTGCTTGCTAGCAGCATTGCACCCAGTTCGCCGTCACAAGGGACACAATCCTCCAGCGGCCACGAAAGAGGACTAATTAATTACATCCGGTTCGAGAGTGGCTGTTGACCACGTCCCTGGACGACTCGTTAAGTGAGTACTGTATTCCTAGAATAGTGAGTCCTTGCCTCCCTCTCTAGAAGCACTATACACTATATGTGATCTTAGAAACGATGGCATAAATATATATATTGCATAGGTCATGTGAAAAGTAAATCCTAATAAGTCATTCAGCAAGAACCACGCCCAGCTCTCGAACTCGCCGTATCTCATCCTCCTCAGGTTCCTGACTCAGCACCTCCTCCATCCGAGTCATCCAGTATCCCTCGAGAAATGCGATCAAAGGCTGCCCGAGCTCGTCATACTTCTCCTCAAACTCAGCAACCAGTTCTTCGAGCTGCGCAAGCAGTTCGCGCTCTTCATCGCGGATTTCCTAATCAAATGCTGGTGGTACTATCTCTACCATTTCGTTAAGCTTCTGCTCATGTTCCTCCATCTTCAAGGCAAGTTCTGGATTTCAGGCACCACCTGCTGCACAACAGTCATGCTGGAACCTATATCAGATATCTCCCGCTTCACTTTACTCGTCTCAGTGGACACGGTTTTCTCGAGTGGTGATGGCGTCTGCCTGATCCCTTTGGGATTTCAACAAAGCACTGAATCGCCAGAATCAGTGTTTCTTCCCTGAACATATTGTATGGCATTTTGCGCGATATCAAACGTACACCTGCAATGCAGTATTGAGGTTTTTCTGGAGACTGTCCAGATCATCTTTCAGGCTCTTCAGACCATCACGTCAAAATGGATGTAGGGCTTTCTTCCCTTGCGCACGGACTACCTCGTGGAAATTGTTTCTCCTACTGCCGCTGCTGCCACCGTTGCTGCCACCGCTGCTGCTAGAATGACTGACCCCCGTGCACGTCTCCAGCTTCTTTTTGAGCTCGTGCATGCCTCCTTCACATGCGAGAATCTTATCCTTCACATCGGAAAGTACGGGGTCATTTTGCAAGGCTCCTCCTTCGATGAGGTCTCGTAGCGCCTCAAGCGTGTCTCGTAGTCCTTCAGCCTTCTTTGCGACATTGCTGGTTTCTTTGTCACGATCTTTCCACGAACTGCAGTAAGTGACAATGCCTTGGCAGACCGTCAGCCCAAACGAAATGATACCGACAGCGCCGCTCGCTAAGGAAAAAGGGTCAGTCATTGTTGTCTGAGATGACTATGTAAGTGGACTGATTGAGGTCAAGAAACTTGTGGCCGTTGAAAAGCCTTTCTTTGCTGGCAGAGTTTATAACCCCGCGCTCTGGGATGGTGCTCAGCTCCATTTTCTGTGGCGTGGCTGTGCGAGTGGCCTTGTCTGAGCCTCGCGTGTGTTGTCAGAATCATTGGATGGTGGATGGCAGGCGGCTGTCAGCCGGAACGCCAAAGAAGTAACTATTACCGCACGAGGAAGGTTGGACCTGCTTCACGAGAAAGGAAAGTATTGCTGCTGTAGTTTGGCACTTAGCATGTACGATCTACACAAACAATGTTAGTGAGGATTTCGCGTGTTTTGAATGCCAAGCGAGTTTTTGCGTCTACAGTGATACTTTTTAGAGAGATGAAGATAAGAGTATCGCCATGAAAAATGATTATCATTATTTGCAATATGTGTTAATGATCCAGGCCTAGACAAAGGCCCGAGCTCTCAAAGTGTGGGTATTTCTGAGCCTAGAAATATGGATTAGAGACAGAATATTGGCAGCATGACTAACTCTGCCGGCCAATTCAGGACTTGAGGGATCGCGGGCTTTGATTAATATACATCATGGTCTCATACATTGCCGTCGAGGTGACGGCCACCATCCCTGTTAGGAGCACCGGGCTCAGTCGTGGTGGTGGCCTCATGAAAGATTCCTTGCATTATTTCCTGATCTGGTTCTTGTCCAACGCTGCAGAAGATTCAAGCCTCTTCTCCAAGCTGTTGAGAACAGTCCTGAGCTTCTAGGATTATCGCTCTCTGTGTTCAGAGGAACACGAGGTCCGGAAACATGACCGATTGCTGCGTAGGAGTCAGCTTCACCACCTTGCGTACCGTAATTTCGCGGAGAATTTGGATCCGTTCCCACGGGGGCTGAGGTGCGCCTCAATATACCATCTTGCTGAAGGTATCGGATCCGTCGAAAATCCCAGCCCTGCAAGGGTGGAAGCGAGTATCTGGCAGATGGGTCTCGAACTTTTCCAGAAGAGAGCAAGCCGATATCATTGCCGGCAAGTAGCCACCGTCCACGGCCACCTGTGGCCAAGGAGAGGGTTCTACTCTTGCGTCCACGGGCACGTCCAAATGATGGGCGATGTAGACGAGCGGAGGGGGATTCTGGGTCGCCAGTCACGACATTCTCCGAGTCATCCAATTCTGCCCAGATCTGAGCCGATTCCTCATTAAAGGGCTGTGCGCTGTAGGTTTGAGTACGGTATCGATATGGAGACATGAGTGGAAGGCTCGGTGCCCGCTGATGAGACGATCCACGTCGAGGTTGCGGTGTAGACAAGAGCGGCTGCCGTTCTCCAGCTTGTATTTCCTCGTCTTCCAAGCCGGACTCGGGTTGCTCTTCCACGATCCCCATGCCTGGCCCCAGAGCAGCTTGCGTAGGACCAGCTATCGCAACTCCCGTATGGCTGTCCATATCCTCCAGTCTCCACGAAAGGCAGAGGACACCACCGAGAAGAACGACAGTGCCGAGTGCAATGAGTCCGGCATGGAGGCCGGCAAGCTGGGATGCCTGTCGGAAATAAATCAAACCATCCACGATCGCAATGATGTTGTATATGCAAAAAACGAAAGGATAAAGAACGCTGGTGCTACAGAGTTTCAAACCTCGATGCATATAGTATAGCTGCGTCAGAGCGAGGGTAATCATGCCTAGAAGGATGAGCCACGATTGCCATCTATTGAATTGGTTTACACGGTCGATCACCGTGCGGACGAGCAGCTCAACCGCTGACTTGGCCAGCAGCAGCGAATGAGCAGACAGCACTCCACTGACGAAACCGAACAACATGCCGCGAATGAGCTTCGCACGAGGCACGGGCAGTAGCGGCCCATTTAGTTTGAAAATCCGATAGTATCTCGAGAGGCTAGGAGAAGAAAAGATCTTGAGGAGCCGTGACCCAGCGAGGGTGAGGAGCACGACGACCACCGTACCGATCATCCACAACACGAAAGGTCGGCGGTAGAGAAGCTCGAGAAGCTGATCCAGGGTGTGCGCGGGCTCCCCAATGGCGCCAAACGTGGCGATCAAAACTGCGCCGATGCATACCAGGACCGTGCCTATCAGAGAATACCTAGTAAAAGGCTCGCCCAGAATCAAGGTCGCAAAGACGGTGTTGAAGACCAGGCCCGACTAGGCATTGTTTAGCACCACAACCTCGCAGTATCTGGATTTTGACAAGATAGCCATACCGCTTGGAGAGTCGAGAGAACCGGCAGCGGCAGCGTAGTGATCTGGATCGTACTTCCAACGATGTTCGACACCACGAACATGAGCATACCCAGCTGCCTGCGGATCAGCACCTTGTTTCGTCATCTCAGAAGCCTGTAGCAAGAATCCGTACCTGCCATCTTCTCCGCTTGTAGGGTGGTCTTCGCAGGTCATAGGGGTCCTTCTCGTCCTCGAGGAGATGCGACTTCCGTTGCAGAGTGAGCCCGATCGCCTGTAGACTGGTCGAGATC